GGGTGCCCTTGTTTGTGTGTTTGTTCGTAGGGTGACAGTTGTCCCGCTTTGCCCAGGATTGAGATGGTCTCTGAGGCCTGGCACTTGCAGTGCAGAACGCAGATGGTTGGTTTCCTTGGTTCACCAGTTGAAGGACATTCAGGTTGTTTCCAGTTTTGTACATTTGGTTTTGTATATTTATTTACTCTTTATAACCAGATTTTATAACAGAGCCCAGATTTCCATTTCTCTTGGTTAAGTCCCTGGAGCGGTTCTGGGGGTTGAGTAAGAAGCTGCCAGGCTGCGTGGAGAGTCTTGCAGGCCCGCCAGCATCGTCTGTGAATTCCTGTTGCTCCACATCCTCTCCAGGACCTGAGAGCGACTGGCAGTTTTTAAGCCATTGTTATAGATGTAGGAGGGTATCTCCTTGTGGTTGGCAGAGGTTTCCTTTATCCATTTTGCTGGCATTTTCAGGACCAGATGCTTGACTGCCACCTGCTGGGGAACCGCCCTAAAAAGTGTCCAATTCTGTGACACTATGATGTGACCAAGTGCACCTGTTGGATTTGGTGTCTATGTGCAGTGCACAGCCTGCTGAACTGTACAGGGGACCCAGCACATAATGACACACAGCCAGCCCAGCAGAGGGGAGAGTAAGCTATACATATGTACATAGTCAAATGTTCTTCAGAAAGTGCTGGCACATGAGCTGGGCATGGTAGTGCACATCTGTAATCCCAGCTCTCAGGAGGCTGAGGCAGGAGCATCTCCATGGGTTCAAGGCCAGCCAGGCCTACCTAGTGAGTTCGAGGCCAGTCCGAACTACCTAGTGAGACCCTGTCTAAACAAACAAACAAGTGGTGGCACAGCTGGTTAGAGAGGAGGCCCAGGAGGCATGCAGGAGCTATGATTTAGTTTTTCTTTTTTCTCTTTTTGCTACCAGGAATCAAACTCAGGGCCTCGTGCTTGCGAAGGCAGCTGCTGCACCACTGAGCTACATCCCCAGCAGGAGCTACGATTTGAATTAGTGAAAGAGCACCAATTAATAATGGTAATAATAATTACAATATTAATAACCATGAGAGTAAATACTTGCAGAAGACTTATGGGCCTGGCCCCATTCCTAGCATATGAACTTATTTATTATTTCAAAGAGGCCTAAAAGGTAGATATTATTACTTGAGTTTTACAGATGAGGGCATTGAGAACAGAGAGATTAACTTGCTCAAGATCACACAGCAAATCCACCCAAGATCTGAGATTTTACACCCAGGCAGTCTGGCTCTCGAGCGTAACTACTGGGCCACTGGTCTCACCTGTTTCTTTATGGTTGCCCCCTAAGGAACCTTTGTTGAGATTTTCCCCCAATCATCCCCCCCACCATGAGATATTAATACCGTAGATAAACCACAGATCCGCGTGTGTAGTGTGTATATATATCTCTCTGTGCTCTGCGCATTAAAAACTATCATTTTTAATGTCTCCAAGAACTGGCATTGCCCTGTATGGCCGCAGTGCCACCCACTGAAAACAACCTCTCCTCCTGCAGGATTGCATTTCTGATCCTAATGAATGCACTATACCTTCGGAGCACTTTCTAAGCGCTTTACATTATTGAATCATTTCGTGCTCATGACAGCCAGGCGAGGGAGGTACTTTCATCGTCCTCCTGTTAGCACTGGGCCACCCGAAGCACAGGAAGATTAATGAATGGTCCCCAAATGAGGTGACTAGTGAAGGGCAGAACCTGCACTGAATCTCTCCTAGACGCTGCATACTCTGCCTCCCTGCTGGGTTCTTCTAGTGCTTTCCCGAGCCCCTGCTCTGAGCCTGGCCCAAGTTAGGAGCTGGGATACAGTGGGAGAGGTGCCAGTCTCTGCCCTCCCAGAACTTGCTTCTGCAGTGTGTTTGAAGGTGGGAGTCAGGGTGGGCTGTATCTAGAGCCCCAGTACCGTGTGTGGTGTACAGTGGGCACCCAGTGAATCCTTGAGGAGAGGCTATGGGGTTATTCTGGCCTGCTGCTAGGCCTGGGGTCCTGAAGGCAGCTCTGCGGTGTTAGCATTCACCCTCCTAGGCTCCTAGGGCAGCCCTGTCACTGGGCCACCTGCACCGGTGTTGGGGCTTTCTCCTTCTGGACCAAGTCTTGCTGGACCAAGTCTTGCTGCACCAAGACCAGTGCCCTGGTTGTGGTGCAGGGTGAAACCAGCAACTGGTGCTCAGCAAAGTGGCTGTGGTTTAGAGCAGAGTTAGAGACAGGGAGCCCAAGTGGAGCAGAGGACAGGCTGGGCCGGGCCAGAACTGGGGCTAGAGGGGAAGGAGGTCCCGTGTGATCTATGAGTGACACCCACCCCGTTCCCCCAGTGGAGAAGACCCAGGCCACCTTCCCCATCCTCTGGGACTCTGGCTTCCTGTGCATGGGCCACAGCCGCAGTGGCACGCGGCTGGCCATGGTGGTGTCACTGGACCTCAACGCCACCAGCCAAGTGATGGCTGTGCAACTCCAGGTGAGACTCTGGAGGATGCACAGGGCCCTCGGGGCTGCTTCTCCCCCACACTTCCAACTGGGACCTGGGATGTGTCTCAGATGGTCATCACTCCCCTAGCCCTTGCTCCACACACCACTCACTTGGTCCCTGCAGTCTCCTGTCCCTGCGCCACCAGCCCTGCTTGTCTGTGCCATGGCCTGTTGCAGAGAACATCATTTAGCTGTTCATTAGCCAGGTCTTACAAGCACAAGCTGAAAATAAATAGATACTCAGCAGCCCTCTGCAGTTTCCCCACGTGACGAACACATGGCCCGCTGACCCCATCCCAAACTCACCGCAGCCCTCCCCTCCTTGCACACATTCTGTTAGAACAGACAGTAGGACAGGGTGTGAGGCGCATGTTTGTGGGTAGAGCTGGGGTGGCAGCCAGGCTCCTGGAAAACTCTCTGGGGGCCGCTCAGTCCCTTTGCTGTCCTGGCCTGGCAGCCTGCTGGGAAGCACCACTTGGGTGGAGGTTCAAAGAGCTTTCATCACAGGACATGTGAGAGGGTGGCCCTGTCTGATCACTGTTGTCCTATGGTACCCAAGTTGGGACCAGTCTGTGGTATTAACAGACTTCCTGGGTGGCAGGTGGGTTGAGTCTGAGTCTCACCTGAGTCCTCGGCTTGTGGGCTGGGGTGGGGTGCAGGGCTGAGGGCTGGCAGCAGACAGTGCCATCCACCCCACAGACCATGCTCCTGGAGAAGAGCCGAGTGGTACAGCCACAGAAGCGGAAGGTGCTTCCCCCATCTTCTCCCAGACTTGGGCTCTCCTCTGTCCTCCCTGAAACCGGACCCCTCAGGAGTGCCTAACCCACCTCAATAACCTCCTTCACTGCTCTGGAAAATGAAAAAGGTTCCTTATGTTCCTTTTTATACTTTGTTCCTGTCCCTCTCTGTTCATCCTGGCCTACATACCACCTCTTCTCACTAGACCATTTTCACTAACACCCTGTTACCAGAAAAAGGAGAAAGGACATGGAGGGCAGCAGCACAGATGACAAGCGAGGCATGTCTTAGTTACTTTTCTTGTTGCTGAGACAAAATACCCAACACTCATAAGTTAAGGGAGGAAAGGCTTATATAGCTCAGTTTGTACAGGTTTCAGTTCATAGTTGGCTGGCTCCGACGTAAGGTGGCGTGGCAGAAGGGCATTGCAGAGGAGAAATGGTTCATCGTGGACAGAAGGCAGGAAGGGAGCAAAGCAGCGAGGAAGTAGTAAGGAAGGAAGAAGCAAGTGGCCACAGCAGCCCTCTTTCTGTCCCTTGTATCCAGGCTACACACCCTTAGGGCGGGTAGCACTCACACCGAGGCTGGGCCTTCCCACTATCCACACACAGAACTATGCCAAAGCAATCAGTGGACTGATTTAGTAATCACACACCCTTAATCCCAGCATCACACACTCTAGATCCAGCCACCTCTGCTTTTTTTGTTGTTTTTGGTACCAGGGATCGAACTTGAGACCTTGCGCTTGCAAGGCAGGCGCCGGAACCACTGAGCTAAATCCCCGACCCTCCAGCCACCTCTGAAAAGCCCCCCTACCTATGACTGAATGAGGCTTTGGGAGGACATCTAGACACAAGCCATAACAAGGCACGGGGTGCCTTTGCCATTGCTGTCCTTCCACACACCCGCCATCCGTTCTGGTCCAGACGGTCATCTCCCAAAAGTCAGGTAAGCTTCTAGATCTCCTTCAGACCATTCGTGATCCTTCCTGGCCTGGGGAACTGTCCCCTGGACATGGTCCCTCAGGAGCACTAGTCTCCTGCTAGTGGCCGCCATTCTCTTACTCATCCTTGGTCTTGGTCGATCTCCCCAGCTTTGGGAACTGTCCCTGTGACCTGGGCCCTCAGAAAACACTGGTCTCATGCTGGTGACCCCTGTTCTCTTGTTTGCCTACAGACAGACCTCACCCACTCCACTATGGATAGTTCCAGTCTGGCCCTCCGACTTGCCTTGCCTTTGTCTATTTCCTTTTTTTTTTTTTTTTTGTTGAGACCGGGTCTCACTGTGTAGTTTGGGCTGGCCTTGAGCTATGTAGCCCAGGCTGGCCTCAAACTCACAGTGATCCTCCTGCCTCAACCTCCTGAGTGCTAGGATTATAGATGTGCTGTGTGTCACCATGCCCACCCTGTCTGTCTCCTTAAAAAAACCTAAAAATCCTCCATAATTTGATGCTCTTTCTGCCTTCTAACTCTTGTTCGTGTAACTCTATACTGTTAAAACAACAAAAATATTATAAGTGATCTCTTATGATTCACTTAAAAAGTACTGTGATGCCTAAGGGAAATAATTGTTTTATGTATCTTATTTTTGTTTTGTTTTCTTTAATAAATCTTATTTTATGTATCGTGTCTCCTTTGTCTGCCTGTTAATCTGTGTTTATAATAATCAACCTTAGATATGGGGGACTGTCAGATAGGACTCCCTCCACTGCTAAAGTAAAGATTTTTTTTTTGGTACCGGGAATCGAACTTGGGTCCTTGTGCTTGGGAGGCAGATGGCAGAACCACTGAGCTAAATCCCCAGCCCCAAGATAAAGATTTTTAAAAGAGTCTAAACCTCCAGACTGAGTTCAAACTCGTTGGTATAAAAAATAAGTCAAAGTACAGGCCAAATATCAGGTTTAAAAAAATGGCTCTTGGGTTACACACAGCCTACGCTGAGACCTGGCACATAATAAGCTAAGATTGACTCCTATCTCAGAATGCCAAAAGACAAAACAGCCTTCCTGAATATCCATAAAAGATAATGAGGGGCCATTTAAAAACATCTTAACTGATTAAGTTTATTTCAAATTCTGTGGTTCGAGTTGATATTTTTGTCTGATTAATGTGTCTAAAATATTTTTTATAAATGAATTGGCTTTGAGATGAATCTCAGACTACAATTACCAGGTTAACTTGCTTGGTGCTGCTTGCTGCTCGGGCTAAGATAAGGATGCTATTCAAGGCCACTTGGAGGTCTACTGGCAGCCAGCCTTAATTAAAATGTAGCCATCCAGGGCTGGGGATTTAGCTCAGTGGTTCCGCCGCCTGCCTCGCAAGCACAAGGTCCAGAGTTCGATCTCCAGTACCAAAAATTAAATGAATACAAAAGACCTTTCCTCCCCTGAGCCAAAGGAACAAACAGTTGTATTGTCCCCATACCTCTGGAAACAGGGCCAACCTTTCCAAATCCAAGGCCACCTGACTCCTAGTTTGCTGGGTCTTGCTGCTGACAACTAAACAGACCCCAGTTCTAAACCTCCTGTAACCTCCATCACCAAAATAAAACCCAGGGTTTGTCTAGAGGTAGCACTTAATGTGGAGAGTTTTTGTTTTTCATTTTTTTAGATTTACGACATTTTGAAAAAATTAGCAAACTGCAGTCTCGAAATATTGGAAAAACTAAAAAAAAAGTCAGCTATGTCATGAATGCATAAAATATATGCAGATAGTCATGTATTTTATTATTTAACTACACAAATGAATTATGAAAAGTTAGACTTTATCAAAACATATACATATAAATACTTAAAGACCATACATGTCATTGTTCTCAGTCAACAGAAATGTTAACAGGCAGGCGTGGTGGCACTCTCCTCTGATCCCAGCTACTCAGGAGGCTGAGGCAGGAGGATTGTGAGTTTGAGGCCAGCCTGGCTAGCCATTCAGTGAGACTCTGTCTCAAAATAAAAAAATAAGCTGGGTGTGGAGCACACATCTGTACTCCCAGCACCGTGGGGGCTAACCAGAAAGATTGCAAATTCCAGCCCAGCCTGGACAACTGAGCAAGAGCCTGTCTCAAAATAGAAAAGGGCTGGGGATGTAGCTCAGTGATGGAGTACTTGCTCAGCACACCTGAGGCCCTGGGCTCCATTCCCAGTAATAAGAGGGGAAAAGGAAGTTATACGTGGGTTTTAGATTGTGTGAGTGGCCGGCACACTACATCTTCCAAGGGCCAGCTACATACCTGTGAGCGGCATTGCTGGGTCATAATACTCTTAGTTTCTGAGGAATTACTAAATTTGATTCCTTTTTACAGAATTTTAAAGTTTATTTTATTTTTTAAAGTTTTTTTAATTAAAAAATTTTTATTAGTACATGTCTGCAGTACACAATGATCACATTCTTCATGAAGAGTTGGTACATGTGCATAACACATCTCAATTCTTTTTTTTTAATCCCCTTCCTCTCCCCTCCCTCCCAGTTTTACAGAATTTTAGCAACAGGCCCATGTTTCATCCTTTTCCCCATTTTATGACCCAGGGATTGAGGCTCAGTCAGTGCCACACTCATTGGCTTTCGGAAGGGTGGGTTGGGAACAGGAGGGGAGGCAGGGGCTGGACAGGGCTGTAATGTGGACATTTCCGGGGCAGTGGAAGGCTCTGCCCCGCCCCAGCAGTCAGGGTGTGCCTGCTGTGTGCACAGAGCTACTCAGAGGTCCTGCCTTGGTGGCATTTGCTCTCCCAGGCACCAGGTGCCCCAGTGTGCTTTGGGGCACAAGGTCCTCAGGCACGGTTAGCCTAGTGTACAGACAAGCAGACAAGTCATTTGGCCAGAGTCACAGAGCCTGAAAGGGACAGAGCTGTGTCAGTCGGGTCCTTTCACCCTGTTCATGTCACAGAGCTTTTGAACTTGGATCTGCAAAGACTCCTCAAGGGTGCTCCTGAGTATATAGGAAGAAGGGCTGACAGCTGGGACCCCAAGCCTCCTGTCCTGCCCCCACCCCCAGCAAAGCCTAGATCAGGGTTTCTCCCCTCTCCTGGCCCTGTTGCCATTTGGGAATGAGCCATCCTCAGTCGTGGGCATTTTGTGCACCAGAAGAAGTTTCCCTCTGCGCCTGGCCTGTACCCACTGGAGGCCATGCCAGCCCGTCCCAGTACTGGCAGAAGTGTCTCCCTGGGTTGCCCTGGGTGGGAACCCCTGGTCCACCGGTTGTAGCTGATTCAGAGCCACAGCAGGCCCTGCACCTTGCAGCCCGAAGACTCCAGGTTAAGTTCCTTAACCTCCCCCGGCTCTGTAGTGTGAGGAGCGAGCAGCACCAGTACCAGGGACGCTGGAGGTAGTGAACGAGTTCCTGTGTGTTCAGAAAGGACCGATCCAGATTCTGATGTCTTGTGCCAGTTCTGTTTTAACATGTCCCTACTCAGTGTTGTAAAAGGTGTCCAAGGAGCCGAGTAGCCCTTGCTACTTTCCAGCAGACCATGCTCTCTCTTCCTGCAGTCCGTCAGGGCTGCTTTCTGTGTCCCAGGTCTTGAGATCTAGCCAGAGAGTGATGGCCATAGCAGGGGAGATGCACTGCTGAGGACCAAGTGGTACCTGGTGCTCCACATTGCTGGGGGCTGGTCCTCAACAGCCTTGGCTGGGCCTGAGTGGCTCTGAAAGAAAAAAGGGGGCCATAAGGCTGGCAAGCTGCACACATACCCCACCTGTGCAAGGGCTTCAGTATAGCGCCCCACCTGTCCAGTCACTGGTGTCCGCACGACCTCGAGTGCCCTACATGTGTCCAGCCTGTGGGAAGGGCTCAGCCACTGCTCCAGCCTTAGTGCTCCCCACAGGATGTGCATGGGTACCCTACCCATGTTCTGGGTGCAGGAGGCACTTCCGCCAGAGCTCCAGCCTCTTACCCACTGCAGGATGCACTGACCTCCATCCACCCGAGCTACAGCTCCCCACCAGACAGCAGCAGGGCTATGAGGCATGAGTTTGAGATCCCGAGCCCTGCACATGGAGCTCTGTTCTGCCAGGAACCTCTTCAGAAGTTCCCTGTCCCAGGACCCATGACACTGCTAGAGGTGGTTCTGCTCCTGAAGCAGCCATCTTGATCTGAAGGGATCTTCAGGCCAATTCTGCCCATGGCCAACATGAAGACATGGTGGCAGGACCCTTGGGGTGCCCAGACGGAGGGAGGAAGTCGGGCACTGGGCATGGAGGGGAGCAGGTGCTGAGCTGCATGTGTGTCCCGGGGGCCAGAGCAGGCAATGTGAGCCTGGCAGCCTCTGCAACAGAAACTGTCTCTCATGTTCAAGAGCCACAAGTCAGAGTATCAGTAGAGGTGGCTCCCTCTGAAGGGTCTGGCAGAGAATCCAGCTGCAGGAGTCTGCCAGTGCTCCTTGGATGAGGCTTCTGTCATCACACTGCCTTCTCCCTTCTGCACCTCTGTAATTGTGTTCCTCTCTGTGACCTCTCCTCTTTTTATAGGACCCCAGCCTTTGGACTACCCTCCCTCCACTGTGGCCTCATTTTAACTGATTACAGCTGCAAAGACTTCTTTCTAATAAGGTCTCAGGCTGAGGCTCTGGGTGGGCAGGAACATGGGTGATGTTCTCAGCCTACCTGGGGCAGCCACATGACTGCAAGTGTTCACTGTGGTGCCTGGCTCAGCCTTTCCGGGCTGCTCTCCAGCCTTCCCTCCATCCTGCAAGACTTCCCAGCACCTTGTGTACCTGTCCAGGATTTCAGTGGGGAACTCGGGTGAGTTTGAGGTCACCTTTGCAGATTCATGTCTGCTGTGTGGGATGAAAATGCCTGGTAGAACACTTTTCTGAGATGCCATCTTCCTGACCTGCTGGTATTTGGCCTGGCACCTGTCCCCAGGGCGGGCCCAGGGTTGCCTCTGTTCCCAGCCCCATGCGTCTTTCCCAGGACATAGCTGCCTTGTGGTCCTGCTTCATCCTTCTAAAGCAGGAAACCTCGGCCTTCAGACTTAAGAGCCCATGAGGCAAGTGACCCTCTTGCATCCATCCACACGCATGTTGATGAGTGACCAACGGCAGCAGTAGAGTCCTTGGTGGGTTCAGTCATCATGGAAGTTGTGGGGCAGCTATTGAAACTGCTGGTTCTGGAATGTTTCATTCAGGCCATGTGGCCATTCCTTGGAGCTAGGTGGCCTTAGCCTTCCTACCAGCCTGTGACGCTCCATTCTGTTCTGCTGCCATTTGTTAGGTATTAGGTATTAGGTATTAGGTATTAGGTATTAGGTACACTTTTGCTCTGTGTTTGTTTGTTGCTATATAATTCAGTTTGGTCTTAAACTCACTATGTAGCCCAGGTTGGCCTTGAACTTGAAGCAATCATCCTGCCTCAGCCCCCCAAGTGCTGGGATTCCAG